TTGTGGATCCGCATCCTTATCAATGCTTGCTGGAGGTCCACTAGATGCTGCTCTTCTGTCTTAGATTTCACCACGATGTCATCGATATATACCTCCATGCTTTGGCCAATTAGATCATGAAAAATGGCATTCATTGCCCTTTGATATGTTGCGCCAGCATTTTTGAGCCCAAATGGCATGACCAGATACTCATATGCCCCTACATGACCGGGACACCTAAAAGCTGTTTTATGAATATCTTCTGGAGCCATCTTTATCTGATTATATCCAGCATTTCCATCCATAAAAGATAAAACTTTATGCTTCACTACTGCATCTATGGATAAATCAGCCACGGGTATGGGATACTCATCTTTTGGCGTAGCACTATTAATATTTCTGTAGTCAACACAACATCGTACTGCTTTTGTTATAGCTTTTAAACGGGTACAATGTTGGCTAGCCATTCCACGTATTTGGCCGGTCTGATAAAGCCAGCTTTTACCAGCCTTTCGATCTCTTCTTTGACCTTTTCTTCTATTTCCTTCGACATCCTCCGTGGTGCTTGCTTAACAGGCTTATATCCTTCCTTGATGGGCATTCTATGTTCCACCAAGGCTGGATCTAACCCTGGCATCTCGGTATAATGCCAAGCAAAACAATCTTTGAATTCTTGCAAAAGACAAATAATCCTGGCCCGATCCTCAGCCCCTAATAAACCACTGATATGTATTGGTCTTGGATCCTCCTCCGTGCCTAGATCAATAACTTCCAAAGGATCCTGGACTTCTGGTGGTGGCTTATCAGGTTCTGCACACAAAAATTCGACCAACTCTGGGTTCTCGGGCAGGTCGTCTGGCTCGTCTATATCATATATTTCAGCCATTTGAATGGCCCTATCCAATTCCTCTTTGCAAGATTCCTCCTCATTTCCATGCTGGCTGGTTGAAGCTTCTTCCTGCCATTCCTGCTCTTCTTTATCTAAGAGCTCCCTTTCTTGTCTTCTTCCCTTCCCATATACCAACAGTCTTTTAATCAGGGATCTGACTGCCATGACCTGATCTTTCTTCTTTTGTTCAGTCATTGATGGTGTAGGGAATTTGGTATAAGACAAGGTCTATCCCACTCCTCCTTAGTAAGGAGCATTCCTTGTTCCAGAAGCTTTTGGGCCGTCATCTTGGTAGGGCGGCCGTTCTTATCAGCTCCTGAACATTTCAAGATTCCTACGTTGGGATTGTAGAAACTTGCTTCCGCAACATTGGCTGAGGGGAGGAACGGCCGTGATTCGGCCTCTACTATCTCCCAAAAGCCTGGTCATTCAGTACCCGCCTCATGATATACAACCACTTGTTGATGAAGAGTGGAAGGTATGGCTAAACTTTGGTGGATCCAATCTCTTCCGAGTAGGGCCCCGTAAGTGGAGGTGCAGTCCACCACAAAGAATGCCAGCATTATCTTTTTGGATCCCAAGTCCACCTCCAAAGGTAATATCCCATGAGTCTTGGTGATAGCACCTGAGAAGCTAGAGACCGTAAGGTCTGTGGGAATAAGATCTTCCGTGCCTCTCCCCATCTTCTTCATCTGCTTGGCCAATAACACGTTAACAGCTGCTTCTCCATCAATTAAAATTCTTTTGAAGGGCACACATTCCAAGTGAGCTGAAACATATATAGACTTCATATGGTTGGCCAACGAAATACTCGGGCGGCTGAACACCATCTCGTCTGTGTAAATCCTTAGAAGACCACATTTGGATGCTTCTGAGGATTCAGCCTTGCCCGAGTCTTCTTCTTCAGCTACCTCCACATTGACGTGGGCCATCATTGGCTTAGTTGTTAAGTAATCACCCTCCATAGTAGCGGGCTGATCAGGTCTGGCACCAAACGTGGTGGATAATACATACGCCATGTTGATGTGGAAATTACTGGGCTCGAGCAAATCCTCTTTCTTGCTCCCAATTTGGTCCATGAATTCATCTAACCAGGCCATCGCATCGGCTGGAAGTAGTGGTTCTGGTATCCCTTCCTGTTGTGGTTGACTCATGCCCTCGTACAACGTTTGTTTTGGAACTTCACCAAAGGGATCCACCAATGGCAGAGAAAGTGGTCTCCTTTCAGATACAACAGTTCCCACGTGAATAGGCTCCGGCTTCCACCCAGGAGTTGGTACCATAATTAGATCTTCTTGAGCTCTTCTCAAGATCCTGTACTTTCTAGGATGTTGGCTCTGCGGCACATGATCCTTCACACCCTCTGTTTTTCTGTTGGCCTTCTCTACTTCCCTCTTACTTCGCCAATAGAGCTGGCTACTACCTTCAGATGTTGTTCTATCCAACTTTTGATTTTTTGAGGCTTCGGAAGTGGTGGGGGGGGGGTCTTCAAGGAATTCATGTAGGCTTTGTGCTACATTTGAACCCTCCTAACCATGGAGGCTCCCATCGGTTTGGTAGACTGTCCGTCATTTCCGACTATATACCATTTTCGCCCAAGATGTGCATGATTCCCTTTTCTGCCGGGATTAGCTATCTCATCAGTTCTTTTGACTTCCCTCCCTATCTGGCCATTCTAAGGATGACCTGCACCCCTCTGGATTTTGGCTTTCATTTTTTCTGCCTCGTCAGAAGCTTCATGGTTTCGAAACACTTCTGACAAGGCCTTGGGTTGGGAATCACCTCCTAAACGTTGAAAAACGCTTCGGGAAGTATCCTTCCTTGTTTCCTGCTTAATCTTTTCGCGGGCTTCTCTTCTTGTATCCTCTTCTTTCCTCCTGATCAATTCGTGATCAATGAGGATTCCAGCTGGGGGAATCTCGAGCTCACATTTGCACTGGCATTTACTACACAGAACCAACCCTTTGATTATGGTAGCCTTTGGATATTCGGGTGGTTTGATTATTTCCTCTGTAGGTCTTTTGGCCAGTCTTTCTTCCTCTTCTTCCCTTGTAATCTTCCCTTTTCCTTTCTCCGCCCATGTCACATTGAGCATATTTATAGGGGCTTCTGAGAAGGAAAATGCAGGGTTGACTACGACCATCTCGTCTCGCTGGCTGGTTTTAAGTCTTTTTTCTTTGGGAGGAACCAAGTCTATATCACTTCTAGAGCCTGTGGAGGTTTTTTCCAATCTTTGCAGCATTTGAAAACAGTGTGTTTTGTAAATCTTCTGGCATATCTGTTATCTATCTTCTGATTAGAAGTCCCACCGGGCGTGCCAAAACTATGGTCGTCGCAGGAATTTCCGTCGGGGATGCTTTCCTGGCCAACGAGCACACAGCTCCCCTAGAGGTCGGCGCCGGGTTGAGGGCTGCTGTCGGGCTTCTGCTTTCCTATCGGGCTTTGTCGGGCAAGTCTCGTCGGGCAAGTCCTTTATCGGGCAAGACTTGTCGGGCAAGTCTGAAAGAGAAGGACAGAGTTAATTTGAAAGGTGCCTTTGTGGGGCCTTAGGTATAGGCCTTGAGGCTCACAATCAAGATTAACTTTGAGGTGCTTAGGCGTGCCACTGCTATCTTCGGTATAACAGATGTAGAATGGATATCGAGTTTTAGGTGCAAACATGTATATACCCGAGAAACCGTGTTAGATATGCCAAGTGCCTTTGTGGGGCCTTAGGTGTAGGCCTTGAGGCTTCCTGTCAAACTAAAACAGTGCTCGAACACATCATATTTGAACTCATGTTTGTAGGAGTCTTATAACTATTATATTTCTGATTATCCGAGTCTGAGAGGTAGAACGAATCCAAATAGGTGTCTTTGTGGGGCCTTAGGTGTAGGCCTTGAGGCTTCCCATTAGAGTTCATTCTTATACTCGAACCAACTAGACCGCAGAATAGAGCGAACCCAAATAGGTGCCTTTGTAGGGCCTTAGGTGTAGGCCTTGAGGCTTCCTATCAGAATCCGTTCTATACTTAAGCGTTCTATGATATTCATGATATAATAGAAACAAAACCAAGAGGTAGGTTTATTACTTGCGCCCCAAGTAACTTCGGACTTCTCGTTTATCAAGGATTGTTGTGGATGGGTTAAGTCCACATAAAGTTCTTTTTATGCCTTGAGGCCAAGGACTTTTAAACTAATCAGATTTACATGCCCGAGGGCTTAGGACTTGGATCTGATTTGGATATTGAAGATATATTCAAATCGGATCCAAGTACTGAGAAAGCCTTGTCATCGTTATTTTGCTAGAAACAACTTGCATATAACTGGAAGTATACAACATATTGCTAGACTTCAAAGAAAGAAAAGACAAAGACAGAGCAAAGAAGGTCGGGCAAGATTAAACCTTATCAGTTAAGGCTGATCGTCTTGCAGGTCTTTATCTTTGTAGTTTTGTCAAAGGTCTGAAAGCTTAGAGGGAGAGAGAGAGGAGAAGGAAATACAAAAAGTGAATCGATACTACAACAAGTTCGAACAAGGTAGGAGAGCTATTACAAAGGTTTGAAGAGAAGGTTATCCCGCGGGGGATAAAGGCTTGTCCCGAATGGGATGAAGGCTTGAGCTGACTACAGCTTCGTTTGGAAGGCAAATCTGGCTTTTTTAGCAGAGTTTGGGTTTGCATTTGTTTGTTTGTTTGAGTGTTTGTTTGTTTGAGTGTCCTTATTCCTGTCTTTTCTTCCTCCTTTTATAGACGACTCGGTTTGGCTTCCTGTAGCAACAGCTTTGCCCGAATGCGGTTTAAGGGTGATGACTCATCAGCTTTTTTACATGTAATGCCACCATAAAGTACTTTATGGGCTGTGCAGTCTTGTCAGTCTACACCACTTGGTCCTTGGGTAGGTAAGCAAGTGGTCCTTATGAATTGTATCAAGTCAGAAAAGGGCCTTTCCTGCTTTCCTAAGTTTCGGCCGGGCCTTGATCTTCTATTCCTCCAGGCCTCCTTTTGGGCCGACTCCATCCTTGGGCCCAAAGTTAAGTTTTAATCCAAACATGATGTAAGGTTCTTGGTTAGGATATGTTGATTTCTTAATTTGGGGACTTTTTTTGTTAGGAAATTGATTTGTTTGTTTGTTTTTTTTATTTGAACATTCAAGCGCTTTGCAGAGTGAATGTGATGTGCTCATGTGTTGGTGAACAGGCAGACCTTAGCAAACCAGAGACAATCATCAATTGCGCCACGGGACATCCAGAAGAGCCCATAAAAAAGGTGAGTTTCTTTAATAATTATTAGTTTTCTGTAATCATTAATAATGAGGATGAACAATTCATTCGTTATATGATCAGTTCGTTCATTACAAACGTAGATCTAAGCATATCGTTGTCTAATTTTTGTTTCCTACTTGCTTTACAGTGTTTGGGCATTTGTCATATGGAATTGCTTCTGTCTTACTCCTTTTTGTGTATTTATGTTAACCACAATCCAGCTCGTGTTTGAATTCTTCAAACTCATCTGTTAGTCATTCTAGATTGCAATCCTTATCTGAGGATAAGTCTGATAGGTCTAGGTCTCATTTGAATGACTAACAGATGAGTTTCAAAAACGAGCTGGATTGTGGATAAGCCTGACTCGGTCTAACAATTCCTTGTTCAGTGAAGAAATTGGAATAAATTAGAAATGGTCTGTGGATTGTTCAACCTTTCAAAAAATGCTCCAATTGAATTTAGAGGTTCGTGTATCCATCTAAAGGTCTTCAGTGTTGGAGTATGTGGCCAAGTGGCCACCTTTTAATTAAACAAATCAAAAAGAAAAAAAAAAGACAAAATAATTATGTCTCTTCCTTGTTTTGGGGAAAAGAAAAGGGAATTGGTCTAAAGTTGTCTTGGTCCATGGGAAGTCACGGATGAGTTCTTTGAAAGAGAAATAATTGCTATTTTTGATGAAGAGAGAGTAATGTAATGCCATGAAAGAGATAAAAGTAGTAAGAAATGGAAAATAACGAGAGAAAAAAAATAGCAGAGCAAAAACAGAGGTGCTGCAGCCCCATTTTGAAGAGAAAAAGAAGAAAGGTGATTTTCTTTCTTTGTTGGTACTCACTCAATCAAAGTTGTATTTGTGTATTAGCTTTGAGCTTTGTATAGAGAGAAAATTATTCACTATATTTTCCCTCTCTATTTGTTTCTTTGGTGTGTGTGAGAGCTATTGGGTGTATTGGGCTTTTGGGTTGTGAGATTGTCAACACTTTGTAAACTCCCATTTGGTTGATAGATAGTGGATTATTGGGTGAGCTCCTACTGCTCCGAGACGACGTACTCCAGTTACACTGACTGTTGAGGAACCTCGTTAAAATCTTGGTGTCTTTAATATTTTGTTCTTGCATTTCATTTGATAAATTTTCCTGTGGGTTAGCTTGAGTTGGTTCCAACGGGTTTGGTGCTATCTTAGCACAACAATTGGTATCAGAGCACTGGTTGCTCTTGGGTACTGTCTAGTTGCCAAAGATGTCAGACGGGCAAGATGAAAATCCTTTTGGAAGCAGCTCCGGGTTTGCAAGAACTACGGTGCAAAATGCAAAGTTCGAAGTGGAAAAGTTTGATGGCACAAACAACTTCGGGATGTGGCAATGTGAGGTCAAAGATGTGTTGGCTCAACAAGATCTACTTGCCGCGTTGGGAGAGAAGCCGGAAACTATGTCAAAGCCGGAATGGGAAAAATTAAATTTGTGGGCTTGCTCTTCAATTCGGTTGTGCCTTGCAAAAACTCAGAAGTATTTTTGTGATGCGGGAGACATTAGCAAGTGTGTTGTGGCAAAAATTGGAAGACAAGTATATGACAAAGAGTGCAGAGAACCGGCTACACTTGAAGAAAAAGCTCTACCGCTTCCAATACAAAGAAGGTACAAAAATGATTAGACACCTTGATGCTTTTAATAAGTTGATTGCCGACTTGTTAAATTTAGATGAGGATATTAAGGATGAAGATAAGGCCTTAATATTGTTGAATTCATTGCCGGACTCTTATGAGCATTTTGTTACCACTATTATGCATGGTAAAGAAACTGTGAAATTTGAACATGTGTCAAATGCCTTGATGAATTATGAAATGAGGCATAGAGATAAAAATCATGATAGTACCTCTGAAGCTTTATTTGTTAGAGGTAGATCATCGGAAAGGAGGTCCTCTACTAGTAGGAAAAAATCACAGTCTCGACCTAGAGGAAACTCTAAAGGTAGAAAACCTTTAGAAAGGGATGAATGTGCCTTTTGTCATAATAAGGGCCATTGGAAGAAAGATTGTCCTAAGTTGAAGACCAAAGGAAAAGAAAGTTCTGAAGCTAATGTTGCTGAGGTTGAAACAGATTTTTCTGATTTTGCTTTAACCACTTCCTCATCATTTGATTGTGCTACTAAGTGGGTGTTGGATACGGGTTGTACTCATCATATGACTCCTCACAAGGATTGGTTTTCAAGCTTGAAAGAGTTTTGATGGTGGCGTTGTGTTCATGGGAGATGACAATCCTTGCACAACAAAAGGGATTGGTACAGTTCGGTTGAAGTTGCATGATGGCATGGTTAAAGAGTTGACAGGGTGTTCGGTATGTACCGAATTTGAAGAAAAATCTTATTTCTTTGGGTACTTTGGAATCCAAGGGTTTCAGGTTTCATTCAGATGGGCAGACACATTAAAAGTTACTTATGGTGCACTTGTTGTGATGAAAGCTCCTAGATGTGGCCATTTGTATTTATTGCAGGGAAGCACTGTGACAGGTGAAGCATCTGTAGTTTCTGAAAATATGGGCACATCTGATTCAGATACTACTAGACTGTGGCATATGAGATTAGGCCATGCCGGTGAGAAAGCTCTACAAGGGCTTGTGAAAAAGGTCTTCTAAAAGGTGCTTGTGAAAAAAGCTCTTTCTAAAGGTGCGACTTAATTGTCTTTCTTGAAGCTTGATTTCAGTGAAGCATTTGTCTTGGGGAAGCAAACTAGAGTGAAAGTGGTACTTCTTGATTCTTGCTTCAGTGTTGGGGTTATAAAGATCCTCTTTGAGTGGTAGACATTGGTTTGTTCTGACATTCTTTGATTGTGCATTTGATGTTTTGGGTCCTATAAAGACTCCCTCTTTGAGTGGTAGACATTTTGGTTTGTTTGTCTGTGAATGGTCTACAAGAGGTTCTTGTGTTCAAACACTTGAAGCAGAAGTGAGGTGTTAAACATTTTCTTGGGTTGGAAGAAAATGAGGTGAGACTTAGAAAGATGAGAAAGATTTTTTTCTTGGGTTGGAAGAAAATGGTGAGAACCAGACTGAAGATCCTTTCTATTTTGAAGATTTTGAATACACATCAGATAAGGAAGGAAATTGTGAGACATTTCAGTGTTCGAGGAACTCCACAACAAATGGAGTTGCAGAAAGATTGAATCGAACCTTGCTTGAGAAGGTTAGATGTATGTTGTCTCAGTCGGGTTTAAGCAAGTCATTTTGGGCAGAGGCAGTTAATTATGCATGTCACATCATCAACCGATTACCCTCAGCTGCTGTTCAGGGTAAGACACCAATGGAGGTATGGACTGGAAAACCTTCTTCTGATTATGACTATATCCGTATTTTTGGTTCACCTGCTTATTTTCATGTGACTGAAAATAAACTTGATCCTAGAGCCAAAAAGGCTATCTTTCTTGGTTTTAGTAGTGGTGTCAAAGGTTACAGGTTGTGGTGCCCAGAGATAAAAAAACTTGTAATCAGTAGAGATGTGACATTTGATGAAGAAAGTATGTACAAAGACTCTGAGAAGAATGTGAAAAATGTCCAACAGGTGGAGCTTGAGAAAGTTGCCTCTGATACTTCAAATCCTATTTCCGCTGATGTCGAAGCCACTACAAGTGAAGAAGTTGGAGACCATGAGGATGTTGAAGAAGTTGAACTTGAAGATTCTATTCAAGTTGAAGAACAAGTTTCACCTCAAGAGTCTATTGCCAAGAACAAAGGAAAGAGACAAATTACCAAGCCAGCTCGATATAGTGATTATGTTGCTTTTGCTCTTCCTATTATCACTGAAGAGATTCCATCCAATTATGAGGAAGCCATTGAGAGTGAGGAGAAGAAGAGGTGGTGCAATGCCATGGGTGATGAGATGAATTCTCTCTTGAAGAACAAGACTTGGGAGTTAGCTAAATTGCCTAAGGGCAAGAAAGCTATCGGTTGCAAATGGGTGTAATGCATGGTGTATGCCAAGAAGGAAAGATGCTGATGAGAAAAGCAATGTGAGATTCAAAGCAAGATTAGTTGCTAAAGGGTATGCACAAAAGGAGGGCATTTGACTACAATGAAATATTTTCTCCAGTTGTGAAGCACTCCTCAATTCGTATTATGTTAGCTCTTGTTGCACAATATGATCTTGAGCTTGTGCAACTTGATGTGAAGACGGCTTTCCTACATGGTGATTTGAATGAAGAGATTTATATGTGTCAACCGGATGGGTATATAGTGAAAGGGAAGGAAAAAATTTGTTTTGCAAATTGAAGAAATCACTTTATGGCTTGAAGCAATCTCCAAGGCAATGGTATTTGAGGTTTGATAAATTTATGAGAGGCCAAAATTATTCTAGAAGTCAATATGATCATTGTGTGTACTTCAAGAAGTTGCAAGATGGGTCTTTCATTTATTTATTGATATATGTTGATGATATGTTGATTGCCTCAAAGAATGTCGAAGAGATTGAGAAATTGAAGAAGCAAATGAAGAATGAGTTTGAGATGAAGGATCTTGGTGAAGCGAAGAAGATCCTTGGCATGGAGATCACTAGAGATAGAGAGAAAGGTTTGGTCAGTTTGAATCAAAGACAATACCTTGAGAAGTTGATTCAGAAATTTGGAGTTCATGATTCAACCAAACCGATTAGTACCCCTTTGGCTCCTCATTTTAAATTGAGTTCTCTACAATGTCCTAAAAATGATAAAGAGAAGCTGCAAATGAAAAATATACCATATGCAAATTTGGTTGGTAGTTTGATGTATGCAATGGTATGCTCTAGACCGGATATTGCTCATGCAGTTGGCATGGTGAGTCGATATATGCATAATCCAGGTAAAGAGCATTGGCAAGCAGCTAAGTGGATATTGAGGTATCTTCATGGTACTCGAGATGTTTATGCTTTGAGAGAGATGACTCTGGTATTGGTCATTTTGCAGTTGGTTATGTTGATTCAGATTATGCAGGTGATCTGGATGGAAGGAAGTCTACTACAGGCTATGTGTTTACTATGGCTAAAGGGCCAGTTTGTTGGAGGTCCATTTTGCAGTCGTCTGTTGCTTTGTCTACTACAGAGGCTGAATATATGGCAGTTGCTGAAGCTATAAAGGAGGTCATTTGGATACATGGGCTTATTAGAGATTTGGGGGTTGATTAGAAGCAGGTGGAGGTACATTGTGATAGTCAGAGTGCCATTTATTTGGCTAAGTATCAGGTTCATCATGCGAGGACCAAGCACATAGATGTGCGTTATCACTTTGTTCGTGAAATTGTTGGTGAAGGGGAAATCATTCTCCAGAAGATTCCAACGAAAGACAACCCCGCTGATATGTTGACTAAGGTTGTTGGTGTAGCCAAGTTTGTTCACTGTTTTGAACTTGGCTCACATTATGCCTATATAAAGAAGGCGTTGAGCAGTAGGAGTTTTGGAGTATTTTGGCTCGGCATGAGTTGTTCTCTTGCTAGTGTTTGGGAGTGATGTTGTGTGTTAATTGTGTTGGTTGGCTTATCATGACGTTATTCGGAACTTGGCCAAGGTGGAGATTGTTGGAGTATGTGGCCAAGTGGCCACCTTTTAATTAAACAAATCAAAAAGAAAAAAAAAGACAAAATAATTATGTCTCTTCCTTGTTTTGGGGAAAAGAAAAGGGAATTGGTCTAAAGTTGTCTTGGTCCATGGGAAGTCACGGATGAGTTCTTTGAAAGAGAAATAATTGCTATTTTTTGATGAAGAGTAGTAATGAAGCCATAAGAGAGGAAAAAACGTAGCAGAAAATGAGAGCAAAAACAAAGGTGCTGCAGCCCCATTTTGAAGAGAAGAAAGAAATGTGATTTTCTTTCTTTGTTGGTACTCACTCAATCAAAGTTGTATTTGTGTATTAGCTTTGAGCTTTGTATAGAGAGGAAATTATTCACTATATTTCCCTCTCTATTTGTTTCTTTGGTGTGTGAGAGCTATTGGGTGTATTGGGCTTTTGGGTTGTGAGATTGTCAACACTTTGTAAACTCCCATTTGGTTGATAGTGGATTATTGGGTGAGCTCCTACTGCTCCGAGGACGTACTCCAGTTACACTGACTGTTGAGGAACCTCGTTAAAATCTTGGTGTCTTTAATATTTTGTTCTTGCATTTCATTTGATAAATTTCCTGTGGGTTAGCTTGAGTTGGTTCCAACGGGTTTGGTGCTATCTTAGCACAACATTCAGAAATCATGGAGTTATTTTATATGTTGCAGTAAACATTACCGGACTCACTAATTTGTCCTGCATGCATTTTTGGTCTCATCTAACCAATTTTTCTATTTAGATAGGTTGGGAAGGAAAAGTTGCTCTTATACAATGTGTGAAAGCAATGGGAATCCAAAAATTTGTATTCTATTCCATCCACAACTGTGACAAGCATCCCGAAGTTCCACTTATGGATATCAAGTATTTCACTGAAAAGTTTCTCCAGGATTCAGGCATAAATTACATCGTAATTCATTTATGTGGATTCATGCAAGTACGTTTCACTTAAATTTTCTCTCTTACTATCTTGTTACTGGCATATCCAGATTTGTGCTTCACTGTTAGCTTGATGTGTCAAATTAATTTCCGTATCTTCTTATTATTCTTATTCTAAGATTTGTGCTTCACTTTCATTCACTTTCTTTATCAGAAACAACTAAACTAGACAGAGTTATAAGAAGTGCATGTATAAAAATCATTCAAAACACAGGCATGCATCTAAGCGCACACACCCTGAAAAGGTATGCATATGTTCGGAAGGGAATCTTTCCAAGGACATGATTTCATAAGGCTAGCTATCCTTCCGTCCTTGTAGTTTCTTGTGTTTGGTTGTGAGTTGTGAATATCTACTTCGACGTTACGTTAGTACTAGCTACTAAATGAAAAAGCTTATCTTTACCTCTCGTCATGTTATCTGAACACTTTTTTTTTGTTTTTTTTTCGGTATTAGGATGTAGCTCATCTGTCCTTTATAGCTTTAAGAAATGAGAAAGTCAATCAGATATAGTAACCAAAATTACCTTTCAAAATAAGCTACGTGATTTTGGCAAAATAACATTTTTCAATTTTTCATGTCAGCAGCGATATTAGAGATACCAGATTAGCAATTAGCTTAGGAAGTTGCAGAGAGATGAATTGCAAAGTGAGAAACAGTATAATTAAAAAGGGATTAAGATGCTAATAAAAGAGAATCAGACTCTTAAGTAATTGGGATAGAAGTTGCTGCCAGATAGATTACATTGGAGCAGTTGCATGCAGAGATCTGATCGGGCTTTTTTTTTTTTGGAAGAAGAAGAGGGGGGGGGGGTTGTGAATGTGCCCCATTGAACTATTTTTTCTGTCTTAGGTTCCAACGTATCAGCAGCAGAAGCTTCAGGTCCTTTTCTGAAAATAACAGTACCAAGACTCCAAACTCCAAAGAGTCCATTGTCTCCAACACTGGCCTTAAGCCCATCACTTGAATTCAAGTTGGTCTGGTCGGTTTTGTTGCTAGTTTTGTAATTGCTGAACCTGTGAGTAAATATAAAGAAAGATTTACCGTTGATTAGTATAATGGTACAATTATGCCATCTTTATATGTATCTAAATATTTTGCATACAATTTTTAAGATTGATTTTGGTTGTTCTTCCATTTTGATATTTTGTTTTTGGATTTTTTAACAGGGGCTTTCTGTTTTTTCATTCGTTCTCATCGCTTCTACAGAAGAGGTCAGTTTTCTTTTCTGCTTTAAACAGGGTTTAAAGAGTAATTATATGTGATTGATTTTCTGCTATGGTGCGTATTGAAATTTCTTATTTATATAATTGTAGATGTTCTTAGTGTGCATTTATTTTACTTGATTGGTTTATAGAAGAATTGATTTGTATTGGTTGTGGATCCTGTTAATCTTTGGTTCTGTGATGCCTTGTACTTTCAATAATTTCAATGCTAAGTACGGCTTTTTCTATGCTGAGAAGAAAGTAGACTTTTTGAATTTGAGTTATCTAATGCACTCTTTGAATGGTACTTTAGTGATTTTTATTGAAGTGTATGAATTGTAAGTCAAAGAATACATACTTTACTTTGGTGGCATCAGAGGTGGATTTGGAATTTCTTGGGGATGTTTTCTTTATCAGAGCGATGATTGGGATATCGTTAGAATCTGACACATTTTCTTCTGGAGTCTTGACAGTGAGAGTTGTGTCGGGTTTCTCTTTAGTTGTTACATCTCTTGTACCACCATTCATTACACGTATGAAATGTGTAATGGCTGCTGTACATAGAACGGAAGTATCGCAGAGCATGTTTAAAGAGAGTGGTTAATGTGACAGAATCAACTACAAAACACAGAGACATAAGGGAAATTTTTCATAGGTTTTATTTTAATAATTGAGAAGGTTCTCTATTGGATTGAGAACAATAGAAGCTTTAAAAAGTAGGTGGGTGTTTTTACCTTTTTCTGGATCCAGAATGCTTAAATCTTGTACACATTTTGTTTTTTCAGCTTCTAATTGTTGAGGTACCATTGGTTGCATTAGAGAAGCTTGCACCATCTTGACAAAGTCTATAACGGGCAAATCTGTATGTGTATACCTTTTTCTGGATCCAGAATGCTTAAATCTTGTACACATTTTGTTTTTTCAGCTTCTAATTGTTGAGGTACCATTGGTTGCATTACAGAAGCTTGCACCATCTTGACAAAGTCTATAACGGGCAAATCTGTATGTGTATTTTTATATTTGATGAAAACAATATTGGGATCAATATTATAGAAGAACTATAACTTCTTCATTTTAGTTTTGCATTTTAAGTTGAAATTCCTCGTATTCACATGTTGTACTTACAGTCGTATAGAGAGAGCTTGAAATCGTAAAATTATGTATGAAATATTTTTTATATGAATCAAGTTCATGCTAGATATCAATGTTGCATGCAAAGGTGTAGGATTAATCACAAAACATGCTAGATATCAATGTTGCATGCAAAGGTGTAGGATTAATCACAAAACAATTAAGACAACTCCTAAGAGAAGTTCAATTGTCAATTTCAACTACGTACCTTATATGGTATTTGTGGTTGAAAACACGTAGGTGAGGCCTGGACCAGCAACAGACTCGTCGCTTCCACTTTCTCCCTCAGAGTCATCGCTTCCACTTGCCTCCTCAGATTCATCGCTTCCATTGGCTTCAAGATCACCACTCCCACTTGCTGCAGGCTCATCTTGTTCTTGTCGCCACATAACATCATATTTTAATTTCTCGGCATCTTCGGCATACAACAGGCATATCCCACACTTTTCCACATTACAGAATCTATTCAATTCGTAGGAGTGAACAGAGACCTCAGTGACACGGTCGTAAAAAGCAGAGGACCATTTTGCTCCCTCTTCATATTCAAGGTCTTTATACAATACGAACACATGCCTATAATGGAATGTGGAACCATAATTTTCTCCATCTTCAAACGGAACATAGAAAGAACAATTGATTTCATGACTTTCCCCCTCTTCAGTTTTGAAATTGTACTTGCCTCTAAACAGCAGACCCCTCTTAACATAGAAATCGGATGCAACAACAGATAGAGCGAAACCCAAGAAACCTTCACGAAACCAATTTGGAGGAAGCTTAACATTTATTGAAGCCCTCTCATTTTGGTGTACGAACCAATTTGGAATTTTATATCCCGGACATACAATGGTAACTAAGGGCCCAGAAAACTTTTCCTGCAACATTGTTTGACATCTTGTTACTTAACAGAGAGAGAGACAAAGAGAGAGACAGAGAGAGAGAAACATACGTGATCTACCTCTTTTTCCTTTAACTTTGAAGACGCGGTTGCCACTCGCATGATTCTAAGCTGTGCATCAGCCATTATGTTGCTGCTTGCTTCATCATAATAACCCATGCTTCGACAATTATAAAAGGCAAGTTGCTCTGGAAGCAATTCATATATATTCCAACATTGGGTAATTGCAGTTCTTGAACTTGCCACTGTCTTCAGTAACTTGCAGCCATCTGCTTGAAGACGACTTAGCACTGGGAGCTCTGGTAAAGATTCAAGGCTCATGCACTTGATTAAGCTGAGAGTTTTAAGATTTGTTAATTTGTAGATGCTACTTGGAACAGCTTTAAGTTTCTTGCACCAACCAAGATCTAATGTTTGAAGCCCAATTAGATTTCCAGCTGACTGCGTAAGCGCCTCAACTGCCGTTGCTTCTAAACAAAGAAACTTCAGATGTTCCATTGGCTCCAATATTTCAGGGAATTCGTAAAATCCAGTGCAACCAGTGAGATCAAGTACCTCAAGAGATTTCAACTTACAAATGCTCGTTGGGAGACTCGCAAGATTTTTGCAATTCTTCAGTTTAAGTGTGGTGAGACGAAGGAGACACTCCATTGATGATGTGGGAAATACTTCTATTGCTGTGCTAGACAAATCTAATTCACCAATATCCCTGGGAAGCTCCCAAAAATTGCCAAGAGAGTAGCAGCCCGCTAGACTAAAGGCACCAGAGACTCTCAGCTTGCAACTGCTGCTTGGAAGTTTCTTAAGTTTTTCACAAAATCCAATATCCAAGGAAGAAAATTTTTTTTCATGAGACCAAACTGATGACAACTCCCTTATGCCACTGCCTCTTAAACATAAGAATTCAATATTGCCAGGCATCTCTGGAAGATACTCGAGACTCTTGCAATCTGAAAGATCAAGATAAGTAAGCTTGTCAAGATTTTTAAAATGTGGAGGAATTTTAACCAAACTTTCACATCCGGAAAGATCTATGTGCTCGATATTTGGACTCCTAGAGAGGTTTGGAAGTGCAGTTAGACGCTTGGAGTAACGAAGATCGATCACTTTTAAGTTCACAAGATTCTGTAATAAAAATTAAAGAGAAAATGTAAGAATTAACAACTTAGTCTGAATAAGTACTACACTACTTCTGTCTTACACAAAAACTATAATAAGCACATATACCTGGCCTCCATTCCAAAGTTCTACACTACTTCTTGTTATGTAGGGCATATGAAGCTCAACAAGATTGTCAGGAGAAAATTTTGGGGGCAAAGATTTCAAAGGATATCCCTTCCAGAAAAGATAACGAAGAGAACTGGGAAGAGAGAGAGTAAGGTTTGGAAAGTACTCTCCATAAGTCTCAAAATAGTAAAACGGAGAATTTCTCAAGACCAAACTAGAACTATCAACATTCAGCAATCTCAGATTCTGCATATTTTCGAAGTCTGCACGATCCAAGTTTTGCTCAGATCCAATGTCGGACCAGTTGAAGTGTATGGCTTGAACCTTTTCAGTTCCCTGACAATCAACAACAAAGTACAAATGTGAATACATTAACATACAGCAAAATTCAATCGAAACTACATTTGTAGGGATATAACTTATTGATCTCTTTCTTGTCTTTATTGTTTAAAAGAAAAAGTGAATGCAATTGCGGCTCTTACCGTGTTATTTTTCAATACATGATAGACATCCTCAGCAAGGAACAGCCTATTACGTCTTCCGGGCTCTTCAATACATTGTTTGCGAACAATTGCCCAACCCATTTCTTGTACCAAATCATGCATATCTATGGTTTCCCATTCCGAATCAATAGTTATGAGTGACCTATCACGGAGAACTCTAATTCCATCTGCCGCACATAAACCACCGTGCATTTGGCCAAAGTCTACCATCTTTTTTACATGTTCAATACGATACCCTTTATAAAAGCATGCTATATCAAGAAATATCTCCTGCTCATTTTCTTGTAACAGATCATAGCTTATTCTGAACACATTCTGAATCTTCTTGCTGGGAAATTTTTTCAGTTTATTCAATGCATCTCCCCACTCGTCTTTGCTCTTACATGGAAGGAATAAGGAACCCAAAATTTCAAGAGCCAGTGGAATGCCTCCAGCATATTTTACCACCCTTGCGGACAACTCCGTATATTCTGCTCTAGGAGAGTTATCCTTGAAAGCATGAGATTGAAAGAGCCAAAAAGCGTCATCAGTGTTTAATTCCTCAACCCCGTATATATATTTTTCATCTGTAACAGCATTCAGAAGTACGCTCCATTCTCTACTTGTTACGATGATTCTACTTCCATCGCCGTAGTGAAGTTCACCTCCAGCTACATCTTTTATTTGCATTGAATCACTAACATCATCAAAAACAATGAGAGCCTTTGTACGACTGAACCCCTCTTTAACAGAAGTCGAATCTATGGAGTGTTTTTCTTCATTTAAGATCTCTCTAAGAAGTGTTTTTTGCAATTGATCGACTCCATCTTTTTGCTCTAATTTCTCCCTAACATTTTTAAGAAGACAACAAGCATCAAAGTTAGAAGAGAGTCTCCTGAACACAGCCTTAGCAAGGGTGGTCTTTCCAATACCACCCATACCCCAAATGCCTACAGTGCAAACACCCTTCCAATTATTAGTGCTTAATAAAGATTCAACTTGCTCAATGCGGCTTTGAATTCCAACCATGCCCCTTAAATCATATGAGGTTTCACGTTTCAATTTCGTTGAAATATCTTCCACAACTTCTTCAATGAAATCAGCTTCCGTCCTGCAAAATATGATAATGGATGACAAGCAATATATGGTAAGCAATGCCTTCACTAGTCTATAAGGATTGCTTAAAGACTAGTTTGGTATTATTGGGTTTTTTTTTTCTTCAAAAAGTTGCTTTAGAATAACCAACTGTAAAATAAAACAATTGAGTGTTTAGTAATTTTTTTTTTGTTAAAGTGCTTTTAACAAAAAAAAATAGTGATTGAGTGTTTTTTTAAATGACTAAAAATGATATGAAAGTGAATTTAATATAATATCTTTTTTTTGTCATACTAACTTACTTCCATTAAATAAAAAGACAAGTACAATGAAAAAGCAGCCCACAACCTAAAAATAAGCCCAACAACGAATAAGAAAATACAGTAGATAGGCTCAAAAGTGGCCAGCTGAACAACAACAACCCTAAGACTGGAATGGAAACCAGCAACAACCAGATGCACCTCCAACGCAAAGTCACCACACCATCACTGAGAGAACGAACCAATGGAACAACTAGATCAACGGAAAATGGGGATGAGCAAGCCACCCGCGCAGTGAGTGCTCCAATAATCCTACCAAATAGTGCTAAAAGCACTTTAACAGCCACCCAACACCCGAGGAGAAGCACACGGGCCGAGTAGCAGAGGCTGGTGGTTGAGGACGAGTGACGTAAAGTAGCACCGAAGCATAATAGGGCCATGAAGGTCCAGATCTAAGACCAACTCATGGGAATTGAGACAAAGTTCAAAGAACAAAACTCAAGGGAAACCAAAACAAAGACCAAAAGAGAAAAGGTTCAGAAATTTAAAAACTTTAAGGATGGGGGAAGGATGAGGGAAAGAAGGGGAAGAGGGAAGAAGCAGAGGGTGGAGATGGATGAGAAAGATGGAAGGAGGGCTAGAAAAATGTGGGAAGGAAGGGGAAAGAATGGGGGAAGATGGAAGATGCAGAGATTGGAGAAGGAAGAGAGAGACAGAAGGATGGCTAGAAAGAGGTGGGAGTCGGGCTACTGCTGACCCTAAGGCGGAGCAAGGAGCGACGGCTAAGAGGATTTCTTTTTCGTAAAGGCAAAGAGGAAGAAATGTTTGAGAGAGAGAGAGAGCGTGTTAGCATTAATTTAATTTATTTTTTATTTATAATATTTAATTTACTTGATGACTATATTTAGCATACGTATATTACCATTTATATTGTGACATGTGATATACCATCATGTTCCAGTCACATTGAAAAATCTCTCAATTCACAATCTCTCTAAACCCTAACACACCCCCCACCCCCCAAAAAAAAAAAACCACAAAAATCCCAAACTCGGTCCACCCAATCTCTGCCCCTTGGGAGCTGACACTACCAGAAAGTTTATGGTTCACGCAACCTTCGCAGGGAGAGGGAGAGAGAAAGGAGCGGTGGTACAGGCATGGCCCGATGCGGACTGGCAGAACTAAACAGGTGCGATTAAATTTCGGTTTAATTCTGAAGAATTTGGGTGAAATATCTGTGGGTTTTCTTTTGGATAAAGGGTGTGCAATAATATTCGCAGGGAGAGGGAGAGGAAGGAGTGGCGGAATTTCAGGGGTCGGAGTTTCAGGGCCGCGCGAGGAATTCGGGGGTTGGAATTTCAGGATTTCTGGATTTTCTACGGCGGATGGTATGCAATTCAACTGATATGCTTTTCCATTTTGAATGGCCCTTTGTTTTTTTTTTTTTCAAAAGCAGACTTAACAAACACAAATTTCCCTCTAGCTTTTTTACATTCCTACTTTTAAAATAATGAATATGGTTCCTATAAAAAATAAAAATAAAAATTTGAAAAGAAATAGTCACAAGTAGAAATTCATACAAGTTACAAAGTTACTTACCCTTTGTTGTTTGAATAATCAAACCCAGAAAGATTGGCTGCAGTCCTCAAAGCTTTCCTCCACTCGCGCACCTTGCCCATACTGTCCTTGAAACGTTTTTCAAGTTGAGCAAATGCATCTGCATAACTCCCCTTTTGTTTTCGCACATCTGATGGATTGATGTTGTAAAAAATGGGTACAACCATCTGGCCTTTTTTCTTTCTGCATTTGAGTATATGCACAAGTTCAATCAAACACCATGTGGAAGACGCATAGTTTTTGGAGAAAATGATCACCGAAAGCCTTGATTTCTCGATTGCTTCTAGCAGACCGGGTCCTATTTCGTCTCCTTTCTTCAGCTTGTAGTCTATGTAGGTTTCGAATTTCTTGCGAAGTACGGCAGCACGAAGGTGGCTGGTGAAAGTTTTGCGGGTGTCCTCGCCTCTGAAACTAATGAACACATCATACTTTTCTGGAAGAGGGGGAATATCAACATCATCATCCTTATCATCAACAGCAGCAGCATCACCAGCACCAGAAGAAGAAGACGAAGAAGAAAATGTTAATGATCCGCAGCATAAGTACAACAGAGTCCCAATGGCGATGACGACGAGGTTGAAAACTTGAATGAACCCAATCAACTCCATCTCTCTATCTGTTAAAGGAGAACGAAGCGATCAAAGCGAGTATTTGATTACAGATAGCAGAGAGCGAATCTGGACTAGATCAGATTTTAGTGCTGAAAATTTGAAATTGTACTAGTTCTTATTGAGTATGTGCAGAAAGTTACAAACACGCCAGGGAGGACAAAAATTAAAAATTTGGAGAGACAAGGATTAGTCGCCTAAAAAATCTGAACGTGATATCAACGATCCGAGTTGTTCATCTCTTTGCATCCGTAAAAAGATCATGATCCAAAAAAAAAAAAATTGAAAAATAACAAATTTCGATAAAAGAATGGAGCGGAAATATAAACGACAATCAATGATTAAGTTTAACTCTATGATTTATGAGATTATAGTAGCGAACTTTGGAGTTAACTTCTTCACAAAAGTTGTAGAGCTTGTCACTATCAGCATTTGCATATTTTTCACACGTTTACATTAATTAAAAAACTCTTATATATGTAATACTTCAAAGACAAATGAGTTTTATTGATTGAAGTAATATTTATGTGATAATGTGATATGTAGATACTAATTTGGTATTATGCTTTTTCATTTGATTATTCATTGATTTATAATATATTTTCTTTGATGGGTAGCTGGTTAGGTCACATTACTCGTTAGTATTAACGGGTCGAGTTCGGATCCGGTCATATTACCCATTCATTTTAACGGATATTATACAACACGACCCATTAAGATATTGAGTATGTCACGAACACGGGAAACAAGACACAGACGCTAGGTCTACTTCTTATTGAGTATGTGGGATTTGGATCCTCTCCTGAGTAGAGGGTCTGAATCCTGCTGACCAAGTAACACGAACCGTTGGATCACAATCCAACAGCTGCAATTATTATAACTTTTAGAGGGCCCCTCTGTTTGCAGCCGTTGGATTTTGATCAGACGATCCGTGTTGCTTGGTTAGCAGGATTCGAACCCTCTGCTCAAGAAAGGATCCAAATCCGAGTATGTGCACAAAGTTACAAACACGCCAGGAGGGCAAAAATAAAAAAAAAAAATTGGAGAGACAAGGATTAGTCACCTAACAAGTATTTGATAATGCTACTACTTTAAAATTTTCATTTAAATTTGCTTAATTAAACGACAATTTTGCCCAAAGCACTCTTTGTAAGGCATCTTTCAATAAAATATGCGTACAAACAACGGTCCAAGAAAATCATAGAGATTAGACAAAAAAAACATAAAAAATAAAACGACTAAATTGCTTAAATACATTCGGCATATAAATTGTGTGCATTCAGACGGAAGAAAATGTTTAATTCATTTATTATTACGGACTAGTGGTATTCTTCTTTATTTGTAAGTGAGAGGTCTTAGGTTTGATTATCGCCAAAAGTGAATTTGAACCACATTATCATGGCAAGCTTATTGTTTATTGTAAGGCTTAATCTACTTCCCACCCATTTATTTAGTGTAAATACTATAGTTTGTTAAAAAAAAAAAAAAAGGGAAGATAATGTTATAATATGCCCCTAGTTGAGGATTTTAAGAAAGAAAGGTGAAATTAAGAATGAATATCCCACCTCCTCCTGATGCGAGGAAGTTTGCTAGTGCTACTGGACAATTTCTACTCTATACAAATGTTAAATTCAGTGATGGACACATTTATATTCAAATGTTAAATTCAGTAACGTGTGCAAAATATTTATTTATCTTAGAATTTTTCAAAGCTGGCCAATATTTAACATAATAAAGTGCAACAATCAAAGTCAATTAGACCTGACATTCGTATCGTGTTTTTCGTGTTGGTGTCTTTTTTATGACATACCCGATATTTTTACAGGTCGGGCGTGTAATGCATGTTAAAGTAAATGAGTAATATGACCCGACCTGTTAATATTATTAGGTAATATGACTCGACCTGTTACTCGTTAAAGGAAATATATTTTAAACCAATAAATAATGAAAATGAAAAACATAATTTGACAAAAAAAATGGACAACATAATACTAAATTAGTATATGCATACTACACTGTCACTTAAATATTACTTCAAAACATAATATATATATATATATATATATATATATATATATATAAACATTTGTCTTTCAAGTATTACATATCTTAAAATAAGAGCCTAATTAAAAAACATTAGTGCATTACTACAAAATGCCAAATATTCAAGGGTATCCAACAGTAAAGATTTAATCTCACATAAATGAGATTAAACCCCTATGGCTATTGTATAAGTAAGGTTTTTTTTTTAATAGTTTTTTAATTAATGTAGAAGTGTGAAAAATATAAACAAAAATATATACAAACGCTCGTAATGACAAGCTTTTCAACTTTCGGACTTAACTCCAAAATTCACCACTATAATCTCATAAACTATAAACGAACCATTCTCACCAAATTTTTTATTTTTTAATTTTTTTTTTCAGATTTCCTTTTTTTAAAAGGAAAACTAACGAAAAGTAAACAAAAAAAACTTTAGTTTTAATGAAAAATGACAAATAAAGGTGTAGTGAATAGTATCGGGGAAATGTAAAAATATGGTTTTTCGTTAAAAGTAAACAGTACTTGGAGTGTTTCGTTAAAACTCCATTTTTTAAGACATGATCTTTTAGAGGATGCAAGAAGATGAACTGTTAGATCATTGATATTACGTTCAGAGTTTTACATTAGTGAAAAGATTGCTTGAAGTTTATAAAGTCTCTAGAAACTATATAACATCAACTTATATTTTAGTTAACGGTAAATATTGGAATGTGATATGAACGATCCGAACCATGTGATATTAATGGTAAATATCGGAATGTGATATGAAAAGGTTTCTACATCCGCTAAAAGATCACTTTTCAAAAAAGAAAATCTAAAATAATTTTTATTAATTTTATTAATTTTTCACTCAAATAAAAAACACTATTCATGAGATTTGGAGTTTTAAAATCTAAACGACCATGTAACCATCGTTTAAGCGTAGAAGATGCAATCACGATCGTTTATATATGATTTCACATTTTTTTCAGACTTGTATATTAATGATTATGAATTTTATTTTGTTTTGAACTCCCTTAAAAATACTATTCATGAGGGTTTGTATGGTTTTAAAAATTCAAACAACGATGTACCCATCCTCAAAGTGTTGAGGATGCGATCACGAGCGTTTGCATATTTTTTTTTCACCATTTTTGCACTTGTAAATTAATTATTATAATTTTTTAATATGTTTGGTATTTTTAAATTACTCGATATTTTATTTTTAATGTGTTTTATAATTTTTTAATCTTACTCTTTGCCTATAGTATACTATAAAAATAAATGTTGAAAACAAAAACTATAAAAATAAATAAATAAATATAACTTGAATTTTTTAAATTTATATAGAATAATAATACAACCATACATTTTTAATATACATTATATACATATACACTATGACTATTGTATTTTATAGTAAGTTTTTTTAGTAGTTTAAAAAATTAAAATCATCAAAATAACTTTTTTCTTAACGTGTCGAAATAGGTTATTTGTGTGTCACTCTCGTGTAAACCTGTTAAGGACCCGTTGTTAACGGGTTTTTATTGTGTGACCCGATAACAACCCGATTAGTTATCGTGTTGACCGAAAATTTGTTATTTTTGTGTTGTTTATGACACGTGTTAACAGGTAATGTAAGAAATTGTCATGTCTAAAGTTAATGGTCATTAAGAAAACATTTTATACCTATATTATTGGGTTTTCTAGCGGAACTAGCCTCAAAAGCTAGTCCTCACAAACTCGCCCTTTAGATATATAGTAGGTATTATTAATGTCGATCATAATTTATGAATACAAATAAATTACAATTGTTATTGGCAACGTCTCATGTTGTGAAAATGTCACATAATAGGCTCATTATCAATAAAAGCAAAAATATCTCTCAATGTAAACAACCATGCTATCCTTTAACCATTGATCCCTCATTTTGTTACGCAATGGTGTTTTCACAATAGTTATAGTAGAAAATGCTCTTTCCATTGAAGTAGTTGCAACCGGTAATACCAAAACCAATGTAAGAAACTTATACACTAACTTATAGTTTTCACAACTCTTGAAATTCACCAAAATTATCACTAATTTTTTTTATTGATGAAAACTTACTATGCGTCTTCATAATTGCTTATGAGGTGAAATCTAGTTTCACCACATTACAAAGTCCCAAAAGATACAAGTTTAGTCAGCCACGTGGGTTTAATTTTAAACCAGAATGCTATATGGTTCTTCTTATTCTCATCAATCCGATTTCTCCGGAAAGCTCAGCTTCCCTCCGTTTTCCCTATAAAAAAATCATTGAAAATTCGTAACTTTCTTTTTGCTCGTCAATTTGACAAAATGTTTTCACCTACGGATTTAGTGAGTCAAGCCAAACAAGTTTAGGTAAAGGATTTGGACATGCAATCAGGTTTGGAATTTTATTTTTTTAATTCGGGATTTTATACAAACTAGACTTTAATCTCATGTTTCAAGTGTTCTTGACTTATGTCATTTGGAGGTTCAATCAAGATGAAGGAGCCAGCTTGGAGGAATTTAAGTAAGCTATAAGCTTATATATTGTTGTCGTCAAGTTTTGGAGAGGAATTCAGGTAAGCTATGAAAGCCTTTGAAGCTGGGCAGTGGCTTGGCTTAAAGGCTGGAACTTGGAGCGGAAGGGCGAAGGCGCGAATGGGGAATCTGGGCAGTGGCTTGAAGGTTGGCTTGTCTTCTCGAGCTGGTTCGTGGGGGCTTCAATAAGGTTAATTTGGACGAGTGGTCCCCATATGTCAGTCTTATTTATTTACATTTTTCAATGAATACAAACGACATCGTTCTACTTAAGGGGGTTTTCTTTTTTCTACGTCTAACATGACACCGTTTGGCTTGGGGTTTTCAGAAAACTGAATTACAGCGCGCAACAGCAGCAGAAAGCAGGGGTTCATTTCTAGCGAGAGGAGGGGTGGATACTCATTCCTGGGCTTCATTTCCGATGAGGGAAGGGGCGGTCGCCCCTCCTTATTTCTATGTAGCTTC